CTGACACATCCCTACAAACACCTATGGACCCTACAAATAATGCTCCTGTACACCTTGACACATCCCTCCAAACACTTATGGACCCTACAAATAATAAATACTCCTATACACCCTGACACAGCCCTACACACACCTGTGGGCTGACTCTGTTCTGTCTCATTTGCTCTTAGGTTCACTCACCCATTTGGGAGCTCCTGCTGTGAATTTTAATGTTCCTTGTGCTTTGTGCCATCACGTTTCCAGCTCCAGTGAAAGCAAGGTTTGTTCAGATGGGTCCCACAAGCTCTGAACCTCTTGTGAACCTTCTCTGGCCAAGCTTTCCTACCCCAGACTCTTGTACCTGCTGTTCTTTTACTGTTTCCATGGGTAAGTGCTGGTTGCCTTTTGAGACAGAATTTTTTGTGCTAAAACGTGATTGGAAAAGGTGTCTACTCAGTCATACACAGCTGCTTTAGTTTTGTGTGGAAATTCACTGTTTCCATTTCTTTGGCTCCTAGTCCTTGAAGAGGATGTACAGAAAATCTCTGCTTGTATTGATAATATTTTTTGGTATTTTTAAAATACATGTGCTGATCCTCCAGCCATACTTTCCGGTTCCAAAACTTAGTCTTTCTGATTTGAATTAGAAGACAAAGCTCAGTCAAAACTTCCCTCCTCCACAATCTAGGAAGAGAAACACTTGTTTTGGTTTGGTTTTGTTTTATCCAAGGACTGTTGTGCCCTGGTGTTTGTGCTGAGTAAATCTTCAGTGAGATAAAGTAGAACACACGGCTCAAGGGGAATTGCTGCTGTTTCCTGGTGTGGGGTTTCAGTGGCTGCACCCAGAGCATCCCTTCCCTTTGTCAGCACTGACTCCTGTTGAACCCACTGTGGCTCTGCAGGCTGTGCACAACGACTCTGCCATCAGATTTGCATTTCATTTCCTTCCAGCACAGGCTGCTGCTGCAACAGCGGCTCTCTTGGGCCTTGCATTGGTCATTTTCTTTTGCCCTCAAAGAAAGATGATTTAAATTTGTTTCTTGTCTGCTCTGCTGTTATCCTGGGTTTGTGCACCATCTCTCTGGCTCGGTTCCAAGGTCTTGTTCAGAATTGCAGCAGTTATCATATCGATTACAGCAGCATTGTGCTGTAGGAGTGGCTTTTCCCTGCTCCTTTCTGACATCAGTGTTAGAAGTTTGTACCTTATCTTTGGAAATTCCAGGCTCACATTTTAATCTGATGTAGTTTACCTGAACACGAGCCCTACCCCAGCCCACCAATCTGTTCCTCACATGTGTATTATGACAGAGGAAGATTTTCCTGCCCAAAATAATTCACTAGAACAAACCTGAAATCAATCTGCTTCATCTCCCCCATCCTGTATTAACTCTGTATTTTGATTTAACATTAGGAAATACCTGCACTGGCAGGGTCCCACCCTGGTGTCTGCTCCCTTTCTGCTGGCTCTGCAGCACATCCTGTGAAGCCAGCCCAGTGTCCAGGCTGCAGTGCTGTCACTGCTGGGGGAGTGGCTGGATTGCATTTGGGCTGCAGTGCTGGCACCAGTAGTGCAGGGGACACTGTTGGTTTGTTTACTGGAGAGAGCTTCCCCTGCTTGGTCTGCTATTGCAGAAATATAGAGCACTCCAAAGACACTTGATCTGCATTGATCTACTCCTTCTGGTAATAAAAATACCATCAAATCTTACTAGGAGTAATTATGTATTGTATTGCTTTGTTTATACTCAGTTGTTAAAAGCACAGCTACCTAAAAAAAGCAAAGACACAAAGAATCACATTTTGTGAAAAAAGTGACTCATCTGTGTCTTTGCTTTTTTTAGGAACTAAAAATGTACAACTACCTGTTGGAGTAAAATGCAAATGCACAAGTAAATCAGTAAAATGTACAAATACCTGTTGGAGTCTTTAAAGCTTCATTCCTGGATTAAATTACCTACAGCAGTCATTTATGCTTTATTTGGGGTTCTAGATTAAATACCTGGAAATGCCCAAAGAATTCCCTGCACTCTTTGCCTGGTGCCGGGTTCTCTCCATCCTAGCTGAAAGATCCCCACTCTTTTCTGTGTGGTTCAACAAGACTCTTCTAGCTCCAGGTAGCCCTTGCATTCCTCACAGGTGCCAGTGAGCACTGGGTACAACTGCACAAGTTCAGAATTCCTTCAGCTGCAGGAAGAATTCCCTTCAGTTCCTGCAGCTCCAGGGCAAGAGGAGCTGCCCAAGACAATATTGGCTGTTCAGAGTGGTGTGGGCAGGACATGGTGCACACTGATTTCATCCTCAGTGTCAAACTCCAAGGAATCTTCAGGAGAACACAGTTTATGCAGAGTAAAGAATTCAGTAAAGAATTGTAACTTGGCCAAATTCGGTCATTTTTTCCTGGAAATGGGAAAATATGTCCCAGATGAGGGTAGGTTTCTGCCAATTTCAAATCTCTGCTGCAGTTTATGAAGGCATCAGGGCTTTTCAAAAGAGCTAAACACCACATACTTTTCCTTAATTTAATTATCTGAATTGATTTGGTTTTATTCCCTAAAGCTTTCCAAAGTTGTTAAACCTGCAGCAAATACCCAATCTGGAGAAAAGATCAAAGCTGGAGGTTCTGCAGGGCTGGGCTGCCCATAGAAACAGTGTTGTGTGACTGGGACACCAGCAAGAACACAAAGACCAGGCTGGAAACACAGAAACTTCCTTGAGCTGGGCTTGAACAAGTATAGTGATTTTTGGGTTTTTAATTTTTTTTAAAGAAAAATATTGAAATTTTGCATAATAGTGTATTCATGCTTGCAAGCACCTTGGAATGATGGCATTAGTGAAGAAAAGAGAAAGGGATCTAATCCCTAGGAGAAAAGTGAGTTATCAGGATTCACTCTTTGTGTTTGGAAGATCCAGAGGGGGCTGAACAGAAAGGAGCTTGCACTAAAACTAAATTACAAACCTGGCTGGGTAAGTCTGCTGGGCTGTAAGAATAAAACACCTCCAGAGGGAGCAGGACAGGGGAAGGAACCTTCTCTTGTGAAGTTTGCAGCTCTGTGGCAGAAAAGCCTTTCTGCTGTAAACCTTGAACTTCGAATGGGAGAAACGGTGATTTCAGACATTTTTGGTTTTATTCAGAGATGTTATCTGTGCCCTGGCTGAATGGAGTGCAGCAGTCTTTGGGAAAGGACAGGAAATCTATTTTAGAGAACTTCGGCAGGTGGAGTTTAAAGAAACTACTCGTATCTCCTGATGAAAAGAGAAAGCTGCACATTAGCAACTCTTCCTGTTCTCAGCTTGTAATAGCTGTTGAGTTCTTAAAGCTGGAAATGTCCTTTCAATGGCTGCAGTCTCCATGGCTTGATAGGGACCCCTTGTTTGGGAGAGCAGAGCTGAGGAGAGCTGAGGAGCTCTGTGGAGCTCAGGTTCTGCTCCGTGTAGAAGACAGCAATTGTCTTACCAGAAACAAATCGCTGGAGTAAGAAACCTTTCCTCTGTGGACTTTGCACTTCTAAACTTTTGCAGATCATCCTTCGAATGTAAGGAGGTGTCAGCCTCACTCTTTGCTGTGTTTTAGCAGTTTCTCTTCTTGAAGACAAGAACACATATTGCAATTTGTGTTATTCTTTGCCACTGACAGTGTGTGATCACATGTATGTCATGCTACTTTTTGTGTTCTAAGTTACCTCACAAGATAATATTTGGTGTTTTCAAAGTGCTAGGAGATTTTTATGACAGCCTTGAAGAAAAATATTTGTTAAATTAATACTAAACCACACCAGATGGGAAAGATGAGAGGAGGGAAAATAGAGCAGAATATTTCAAAACTGGGGGTGTGTTATGTTCATATTTAAAACTCATTAATTTTCAAGTGCTGAGTACTACATTTTTAATAATGGGGAAAATAAAAAATCTAGCACATGCTTAAATATTTAATGTTGAGAATTTTAGGGGGATGTTCAGTTTATTTTACCTGCAGCTGTGCTTGAAGTTCACCCAGTTCCACTGTGACCTGGACTGATGCATTAACTGGTTTGAGAGCCCTCGTTGGTTCTGTGGTGAGAAAGAAAACAATTTTAAATGGGGATATCCAAGGGAGAGGATGCAGCAGGCCCAGAGTCAAGGTTTCAACTGTTCAATTTGCAGTTTTCAAGTGGGCAGGAAATACAGAATTTCTTCCTGTCCCACCTGAACTGGTCATGTCTGGCTGCACTCAGAGCAGTGCAAGGGCTTTGCAGCAGAAGTGTCCTTGTCACCTGTGCCAGGCAGGCCAGC